ATACATATATATATATATATATATATATATATATATATATATATATATATATATATATATATATATATATATATATATATATATATATATGTCGGTTTGTCTTGTCTGGCATGTTCCGGCTGAACCATTCGATATAGCATCAGATTTCTTTGTAGGAGTACTTTTAAGCAGAGGAATGAAGACGGTATAATATTGCCTGCTCCCAAAAGGGCTTTTCAAACAATATATATATATAAATATATAACCCACAAACATACATACATACATACAACACAAATTAAAATTTTATAATTATTAGTAATGTCACTTTAAAAATGTTAACTACTTCCTAATAAAATCCTAATAAAATCCTTCCTAATAAAAGGTTTATATGCTAATTTAAACAAGCCCAAATTGTCTAAAACTATTAACTACTTTCTAAAAATCCATGCAATAAATGATATTTATATTCTAATTAAAACCAATTAATTCGTATCACACTGATCGTCAGGCAGAGACGAACCAACGGGGTCTGGATTGTAATTTTGAACAAGATCTCGTATCGCCTCTTGCAGGTTTTCCTCGACAGTTTTCTTTCTACGGAGTTTCCTTAAACACCCCGAGCATATACGTGTGCATGTTATCATCTATTCGAGGACTGATAGGCAGTTTCCTTATTTCCTGTTTTATTTGGAACGAAGGACGACCACGTACGTTGATTCGCGATATGCTTGAACTAAGATTGGTTAAGCAGGAAAGCATAACACCTCATCCATATGTATAATTCTACGCACTGGCGGTTCCTATTTTGCCGCCATTTTGTTTAATAAAATTTATTCCAAAATAATTATTCGAAAAGCTCTTGCGTCATCGGACGGCATTATCGCGCTCAGATTTCAGGCGTCTCTCCCCGTGTTCAAGCGGGGAGAACGCCTGACATTTCAGGCTAGGCCTGAACAGGCTCCTTGTCCATTGAAAGGGGGACTAGTTAGTCTCCCTTGATCTTGACGAAAAGTGACAACATTTGCTTCCTCAATTTTCAATCATAATCACGAATTTGAATTGAAAGTAATAATTGTATTGAGCACATTTACCTTACAATTTTAAGAATTTTGGATAATTTCTTCTCAATGCAAATTTAATGGTGGAGCTCTTACTTCACGTGTAAAATGGGGTTCATTTTCAATGTGGTTCATTTTCAATGTGTCCTACTAATATAATAGCACAATATATTGATACCACTCAGGTAGCAGGTCACGAGTAATTCACAAGGAAAAACTTCGTATTTTTTTATTTATACACTAGTCCTGTGTCGATATTACTCAAATGTCATCCAAAAATATGGTAAATTTAACGAATCGGAAAGAGCACTAATCAGCCTCCTTCCTACGGAAGCCGGCGTAAAATACAGATTAATTAGTCGCCATTTCAGATCTTGACAAAAAATAACAACAATAATATCGTGTATATTTTTAAAATGATAAGATACAAAAAGTGGTTACGAGCCGCCGAGGTGAGTGGGTTATTATAGGTAAACGTATAAACTGGAGAAACTGCGTGGTTCAGTGGGGTTTAAACAAAGCTCTCGTCACCAAACACGAATCAGTGGGTTCCTAAGGAAAAAAACTCACCGTACCAGAACATTATATATAATTATTCACAAAGATCTGGGGAACTTTTCGTGAATATAAACTCGATCTTAATCAGTGTGCAATTCAATAACCCACTTAACCTACATTATTTTAAAGTATTTTTCTTTCTTTAATGATAATTAAGCAAACTACATACACTGAGAAAATGACAAATGTTTGTATGCATGCCTCATTATTGCGTGGTCTCCATATCTCGATGAGATCAAGCATGTATTCATTAATCGCTCTTTGTAGAGTTTTGGAGAGATTAGTTAGTGAAATTATGAAAATGACGATTTGCTGATGCTGTTTTTTAGGTGATTGGGCATCCGGTGGCTGTCCACATAACATTATTTTATACAATTATCTTTGTTGTTAGAGCGAGGGTCCTCAGGATTTACTATAAGGTCGTTACGACATCCACCAACAGTAAACATTTCTGACATTCCAACTCGTTTGGCGACTTTTGTGAACAACATTGAACCCAGTTTTTTAATCCAAATAATGAACAGTGGTTCCATTCCGCGCAACAACATCGTTAGCAAAAGATGGTAAACTCCAGAAGTACTTAGAATGGAACTATACTTCAGCCCACACTTCTGTTAGCGATAGGTCACATGGGATAATGAAGCTCTACAGCCTGTAGGATCGGTTTCACGAAAACATCCAATTGAATGGTGTGCTAAGACACTTATCGATCGATCCTCAAATTCACGCCAACGTAAACAGCGAATCACATGAACTGCACCAAATTAATTCCTGAACATGATCAAAGCCACCCATGTCTTCATGAAACGACTTCTTGTGGATCTGCGAAATGAAAGAAAAACCAGCAAACCTGAATGGAGTAATAATATTAACTTTAAAGTTCAGTATTTTAATTTTGGGATAGGTAATAGAATCTCTACATGCGTCTTGGACCTTTGGTTAGTGGTTTATACTTATAAGCATTATTAATTTGATGGTTTCTTATATTTTCAATGGGGTCTGGAAAGTGGACCATGCCGTGAAATATTGTACATTAGGTGCACGCGTATAATGCGTGCGCTGTTTTGTGTCTTTTGTATGTCAATCCATTGGAGAAATATCGTAATTGAAGCTAGAAGCATGTACTGTATGTAAAGTTATTACTTGGTAATGGATAGGTGTGATTTGATGATGCATATTTATCACAGGATCGGATTTAACCATGCCGCGATTTTGCAAATTAGGCATTGGTGGTAAGACCTGCACAGTCGCTTGTGATTTTGTGTTGTGTAATTTTCCTGTATCTCATTTAGTAAATGGTTTTCTTATATCTTCACAGGGTCTGGAAAGTAGACCATGCCGTGCAATATTGCAAACTGGGTTCCCTATAGTATTTAAGTATATGTACTTATGTAGGTTCAGTTAGATGATGTACATACTCACAGCCAGGGTCTTGAAAGCAAACCATGCCGTGAAATATGTGAAACCTACGGTTTGTGTCATGTATAGCTAGCAGTGGCGTAGTCAGACCTTAATTTTTGGTGAGCGAAGCGAACGCCGAAGGCGTGAGACCGTCTAGGGGGCTTCGGGGGCATGACCCCCCGGGAAAATGTTGAAATCTAGAGTCCCTGAAATGCGATTTCAAGCATTTTGGGGGTGAAATCTTGCAGAATTCCAAAGATTATAAAGTACATCGAAGACATAAATTTTCCCAGACATTTCTACTCGGAATTAAATAAATTGGAAAAGTCACCTTGAAAAACGAGGGGTCAGTGTCACCTTATTTCTCCTCTGTGATGCTGGGGGGGGATGTGATTTTCATCAGAAGAGACACCACTTCCGCATTCTATGACATTCAGACCCTCCCGCCCCCTGTTCAAAGTTGTGTCCCATTTCTCGTCAGGTTTGATGTGTTTTGGTTGAAGCAACATTGATTGGGGTGGGGTGGGGTGGGGGAGTGGTATTGTGTGTAAAATACTGTAATGATCCACTTACAATCTAAAACTACATGTGTCCCAACAACTTCTGAAAGTGATTGTCTGGGCCCCATATGCCATAACATCATTGTATATCTCAAAAGTACAGGGGATAGAATGCTCTGCGAACGAAGTATTTCAGCTCCATTTCGTTCACAGAAGATCTAATATAACATTTAAAAAAAATTACGTTTCATTAAAATTCTCAAAGTTAATAATTAACAGAATATGAATATAATTTTTATGTCATATAGCATTCTGAATCGTTGTTTGTGTTTACAAGTTTCGGCAGAGCACAATTGGTTATTTGAGAGGTTATAATCCGTCAATAAAGATAGGTATCGCGAATGTTTACGCTAGATATGTCACACTTACTGTGGTGTATGACCCATGATGCTTTGAGGTCATCACCACGAGGCACGACAGTTGTTTTGGACATGATATTAAAAACACAATCAATATCGAAGAACACTACATTGGGGACGAGGATTATAAACAATTGATTATGGGTTCAGTTTCAATTGATTATGAAACACGCGACGATTGGACTGCATATATAGAAAGAGTTGAACAGTATTTCCTTGCGAACAACGTAGCCGATGATAAAAGAGTTCCAGTATTGTTGATAGTAATCGGAGGTAAGACGTATAGTTTATTGCGAACACTGACTTCTCCTGATAAACCTTCGACAAAATCATTTGATCAAATAGTGGCAAGGGACATTTGTCGCCCAAACCCTTAAGACCTGTTTACACTTGCAATTTTTGCTGCGATTTCTAGTGCGATTTTCTTCTTCTGACGGATGTGAACGAGTAAATGTATTATAGATGTTCAGATGAGGGTACACATACTCAAAACATTCCTAACTCATCTACTCATTCACATCCATCAGAAGAAGAAAATTGCACTAGAAATCGCAGCAAAAATTGCAAGTGTAAACAGGCCTTTACTGATCGCAGAACGATTTAGATTTCGTAAGCAGGAAACTGGCTAGGAAAGATCACACTAGATTGGAAAGCAATCAATACATTGGCAACCACACCACCAGGAAATCCATCAACCCGATTACAAGAGATTCTCGAAAAGTATGGTGATGTTTTCGAAGAAGATATTGATCTGCTAAAGACTACCAAAGCAAAGCTGAACCTGAAAGAAAACAGCCAGCCAAAGTTCTGCAAAGCAAGACAAGTACCATATGCTCTGCGACCAAAAGTTGAGGTTGAGTTGACCAAGTTGCAGAATGATGGCATCTTGACCAAAGTTGATTGGAGTGAACGGGCAACCCTAGTTGTTCCAGTGATAAAGAAGAATGGCAATGTTCGATTGTGTGGTGATTTCAAGCAAACCATCAATCCAGTCTTGCACGTTCAACAATACCCTCTCCCACGGATTGATGCTATTTTCGCCTCCCTCGGCGGTGGGCAAAAGTTCAGCAAGATTGATCTGTGACAGGCGTATTTACAGATGGAAATGGAAGAAGAGTCAAAGAAATTCCTAACAATTAATACCCACAAAGGATTATTCCAATACAATTGGCTTGTATTTGGTGTAGCATCTGCCCCCGCAATGTGGCAACAAGCTATTGAATAGAAGCTATTGGAAAAAGCAAGAAGCTATTGCAACAAGCTATTGCAACAAGCTATTGGATCAGATATTGGAAGGAATTCCCCATGTGCAATGTATCCTTGATGACATGATCATATCTGGCGCAACCGACCAAGAGCATCTTGACAACCTAGAAGAAGTTCTCAGTCGACTTAGCGAACATGGTCTCAGAACCAACATCAGTAAGTGCAAATTCATCAAAGAAAGAATCGAGTTCTGTGGTCATGAGATCAGGAAGCTGGGTATGCACAAGTCCCAATTAACAGAAAGTGAATGCTGTGATAAATGCACCACGTCCTGAGAATGTTTCCCAAGTTCGTTCCTTTGTTGGTCTTATTAATTATTACCACGATTTCCTTCCAAACCTTTCTACCTTACTTCAACCACTAAACCAGTTGCTCGAAAAAAAGAGACGGTGGAAATGGACCTCGGAATGTGAGCAAGCTTTTCTGAAAGCAAAGGAGTTAATTGCATCCGAGGAAGTCCTTGCACATTATGACCCTCACGATCAACGCCCAATCAAGTTAGAATGCGATGCATCTCCGTATGGGTGGTGGCAGCTTTAACACAAATCATGGGTGATAATACTGAATGACCAATAGCTTATGCTTCAAGGTCCCTTCTATCTATTCTCAGATAGAGAAGGAAGCATTGGCTTTAGTATGGGGTGTGAAGAAATTCCATACTTACATATTTGCACGACATTTCACCCTGCGAACAGATCATAAACCATTGACAGCAATTTTTAGTCCAACCAAAGCTATACCAGCAACGACTGCTGCTCGAGTCCAACGATATGCATTATTCCTTTTAGGGTTTGACTACGAGATTGAACACCGTAGTTCAACACAGCATTGTAATGCAGATGGATTGTCCCCTTTACCTCTAGCAACAACTGAAGATGAAGAAAATCTGTCTGTTGACCCGGTTGAGGCATTTCATGTATCACAGTTCAGCATTTTGCCTGTCACTTGGCAGCAAGTACGCAAAGCAACCCAACGAGATTCTACCCTGGCCCAAGTGTATGAGCATGTCATGAAAGGCTGGCATGAAAATAAAGACCCCAACCTGCAACCCTTTTATTCCCGAAGAAACGATCTAACTATGCACCAAGGATGTATTATGTGGGGGGAGCAGAGTTGTCATTCCCACAAAGTTACGAAGCGAAGTACTACAAGTATTACACGAAAGTCGTGTTTGTGTGGTTAGAATGAAAGCTCTGGCTAGAAGTTACGTTTGGTGGCCAGGAATTGATTTGGAGATTGAAAGGATGCAGTGGTTGCCAGCGGGTTCAACATGCCCCAAAATACTCACCATTACACCCATGCGAGTGGCCATCTACCCCCTGGCCACGTATTCATGTCGATTTTGCAAGACCATTTCTTGTAATGATATTTTTAGTGATTGTTGACGTTCATTCCAAATGGCGAGAGGTAATAATCATGCACTCGAAAACAACCACCTCCAAAACTGTCGAAGCCCTGCAAACAGTGTTTGCTCGAAATGGGTTACCAGAACTACTGGTTAGCGATAATGGCCCTCAATTCACTGCAGAAGAATTCCAGCTATTTCTAAAGAAAAACAGAGTTAAACACGTAACTTCAGCACCATATCATCCAACCACTAACGGCTTAGCAGAAAGATTCATTCAAACCATGAAACAATCTTTGACTTCAATGAAGGAAGACCTTGGCTCCACGTAGACCAAACTATCCAAATTCTTAATGAAATATAGAAACACACCACACAGCACGACTGGTGAAACACCAGCAACTCTCTTCATGGGACGAAATTTACGCACACGGTTAGACTTGATCAAACTGGATATTTGAAAGCATGTTATAGAGAAACAAGTCAGCCAAGCCAAACCCAAAGGTGATATTGCTGGTAATGCAGTTAGTGTCAGAAATTACAGAGAGAAGGAAAAGTGGATTCAAGAAATTGTGCGTGCTCGAACCGGACCAGTGTCATGCCAGGTCGAGATTGCACCAAATGTTATTTGGAGGAGACACATCGATCAATTACTTGCCTCGGAGAACATAAATGACACTCAAGATCTTGAACCAGTTACAGATATTCCAGGTTTGGCCAATGAAAATAATACTGAAGACGAAACAGCCGTGGACATACAAGACCAACAGGAGACTTTAAACAGGTGAAAGTGCAAAGAAATGATTATAGACTTCAGAAAAACGAAAACGGAAATTCCTGAACTACAAGCGGAACAGTCTCCAATAAGTTAGAGTTAGATACCGAAAACGGAGGCTCTTAGTCAGATACAAACCCGAGGGGCCGTAGGCCCCGAGGGATTTATCTGACTAAGAGCCGACGTTTGAGGTATCTAACTAACTTAGTTCATATTTGTAAGGATTGACCCACAATGAAATTTACTTTATGATATGTATTGTTCTTTAAATGAGTTTGAATTACCATGGTTGTAATAAAAACAAACAGGGCTATTTTGATATGCATCAATTCTCGTGTCGCACTACTGTATACTATCAATGAGAAGTGATTAAATATTCGTTCACCAACCACAATTACGATGAAATATGTTTGAAATAGCTCATACAACCGAGAAGAGCTAACGAAGATTTGTACGGGTTTGTCGAAGCAGAGATTCTCAAGTTGTTCTCAACAGGGTTTTATTTGCAGGATAAAAACCAAATGGGAGGTCTTTCATTGAAATTCAAGACCGAGGCGTGCAGCACCGAGGCTTGAATTTCAATGAAAGACCGACCATTTTCTATTGTCCTTGGGAGGTTGTGGGACGAAATAAGGTTGAACATGCGCATTAAACACGCTTTAATGTGGTTGAGCATGCGTAGTATATCATTTCGCGTCCCACAAGCGAAAGAGCAGATATTACTGTATAAATTCCTTGCACAAGCAAGTTTGATGGTCGGTTCAGCTAGTCCTCGTGCACCGAATGATAAATATTCTACCCAAAGGTAGAGTTTGACGGGCTTTGAGGTACACGGCTGTTGTCTCTTTCTCGACTCAGAGACGTGCAGCGTTTTCTAGTCGAAAAGGAGATGTGGGGTTTGAGTTTGGTTAAAAATTCAAGGTATCTAACTCCATAGTGACCTCCAAAAGGGGTCACTATGGAGTTAGATACCTTGCATTTTTAATTAGGCATTCAATTCTATTCATCAACCCCGCTTTTCCCTGTGGAGATATCAAATCCCTCCCCTTGCTTTTAGATTCTTACCCAAATAAAACCCTATTGAGAACAATAGATATCCGCACAAATATGAACTAAGTAAGAGTTAATTACCGAGAACGAGGTTTCTTAGCGAGATACTACCCGAGGGGCGTGTCCCGAAGAAAGCATCCCGAGGGCCGTAGGCTCGAGGGATGCTTTCTGAGGGCAACGCTCCCGAGGGATGTATCTCGCTAAGAAACCGACGTTCGAGGTAATTAACTGACTTAGTTCAAATTTGTAAGGATTGAAAAACAATTAAATCTACTTTTTGGTCGAAAATACTTGCATTGAATTAAGAGAATAACGATTGTTACCATGGGGTCCATATGAAAATGAGATTGAAACGTGAACTACCTATGTAGCGACGAAAAAAATGCTTCCAGGCAACCGAAATCAGATGAAAATGTAGGCTTATGGAAAGATAATTTTTGCAAGCAAATGACGAACCATTGGGATTTGCAGTGCTCAAACTAGACAGAGATAAACAAAGAGTCTTGAAAAACGCGTATTGAGCGTATACCGAATATACTGTAGGCACAAGACACAACACCATCTGGGCAGTTCGATCGTATTTGGAAAGAGTGGGCCGAAGGTAGAAGCGCTATAACGAACAATATGTGTATGGGTTTGTCGAAGCAAAGATTCTAAATTTGTTTTCAGTAGGGTTTTATTTGGGTAAGAATCTAAAAGCAAGTGGAGGGAATTTGACATCTCTATAGGGAAAAGGGGGGGTGATGAATAGAATTCAATTGAATTGATGATTAAATATTCACCAGGTTTTATCTAAGTATATAAAACCTGATTTTTGCGGGTTTTATATATATATAACCCGCAAAAATCCGGGTTTTATATAGATAAAACCCGTGAATTTATAATTATTAATTCAATTCTATTATCAACCCCACTTTTCCCTGGAGAGATATCAAATCCCTCCCCTTGCTTTAAGAATCTCACCCAAATAAAACCCGACTGAGAACAATAGAAATCCGCACAAATTTGAACTAAGTCCTGTCAGCTCCTACAAATTACTGGGTGTGTGGATCGATAATAATCTGAAATTGGAGACTAACACTTGGGCTTTGATTAAAAAGGGCCGGGAAAGACTGTACTTTTTAAAAATCTTAAAGAATTACGGTGCCCTCACAAAGGACCTGTTGGCATTTTATAATTCAATAATCAGGCCGGTTTTAGAATATGGTGAATTGGTGATGTTTAGTATGGCACGGGGGTAAACAACAATGCAATATCGAAAGGATTCAAAAACGAGCATTTCGTATAATATATCCAGGACAATATTACGAACAGGTATTGAAAGCGAACAAGTTGACAACATTGGAACAACGAAGAAAAGACCACTGTTTCAAGTTAATGTCAGATATGACTGAAGAAGATCATTAGCTTAATCATTTGCTTCCTGCAAAAAGATCTGAAGTAACGGAAAGAAACACTAGAGGAAACAAAAATTGTTTATAAAATTGCCTGCTTTTACATGCTATTAACATTTTTGACACTATGAACAACAATTAGGATAGTAAATATAATATAGTTGTAAACTATATAGTAATTTAACTTATGTTATTGTATGTACTGTAGTTATGACTCCAGTAATAACTAGAGGGCACTCAGAGACTGCATACCTCCGCCTACGCGCAAAATATTGAAGTAATCTATTGTTATTAGAATTTGAATGGCTGGTGCATATATTATGCACGTCCTAATTACGCATTCAGTATAAAGTTTTATTTAATTGACCGGGAAAAGCAAGGCAAACTTTTGTTATTTCTCATTCAATTTTTAATCAAATTCAACCAAATTTTAATCAGTTCTTCCTTAGCCGATTGGAAATGCATTCACAAAATTTCGTACGGATATGTTTGGTATTTCTTGAGTTATCGTGCTCACAGACAAACACACACACATACAAACCCAGATGATTACATAACCTCCTGGCGGAGGTAATAATAATAATATAGTTGTGTTAATTGCACTTTTTCATTTGTTTGGCCCTCACATATTAAATTATGAATATTCAAATTAAATTTAATATGAATATTATCTTTCAAGTTTAGTATGCAAAAGGTTTATTAAAGAAATTGTCACAGATGAGACATTTATAGTCTAGACATGTCGTGTACTATTATATAAACAAGATGAAACACTCCATTTGACAGTTCTTTACTAATGACCAAGTTTTTGAAAAATAGATATATGCTGAGGTTGGTGGATAATCCAAGTAAGCATATATGTATATATATAGTTCCCAGAAAATAGTTCCCCAAGAAAGAAAAAAGATCGTTAATGTAAATTAAAATTTAATAGATAAAAGGAAAAATTCTAACTAATAGAAGAAAAGTCACCTGTGCTGTAGGTATGACCTTAGAAATGCAATAATTATCCATCTTAATAGTGTAAGACTATAGAATAATGTAACAAATGTTCTATGGCAAATTCATTTTTAGCCAATCTGGAATGCCTAATTTTCTGGGGGGGGGGGCATGGATCCCCCTGCTAGTGCCCCCCTAGTAGTGCCTTTTTAAGCGTCTCTATTCACCTTAGGATCAGACCCTTGATGCATGTTATCTAAATTAGTTTTATGTTAATAAAGTATTTTTCTGTTAATTTAAAATATAACATGACATTCAGTTTGATAACATCACATAATTACAGTGTCCGAGTGTCAATTTACTTTATTATTTGCAGAAATGTGCAATGTTCTCTTGCGGTCTCAGAAAGTAAAATATTTTTCCACCCCTGGTTAGCACTTCACTTGGGTGAACTAGAATGCTGGGTTTGCTAGATAATCCAAGTGAGCATATATACTGTATACACATCCTGACCTGACCAGGAACAGTTGCAAAAATGCAACACTATAGTAGGTCCTCTGTCTTGGATAATCCACCAAAGCAAGCATAACTTCTAGTTCAACCAAGTGAACTGTGAAGTGCTAACAACATCTTTCAAGTTCACCTTATCACAACCCGTGTTATTTGCTTCTCACTTTCATTAACTTTTGATAGTTTTATTTCTTATAGTATAATTCGCATAATATAAACTCATAACATGTTTATACTCTATCTCTAAAATCCCGTGTCCTACACCTATTTTCGCGCCCTTTTCCCTCGTTCCCAGTTTTCCCTGTCCAAGCAAATATAACTAAAGTATTAATGTCAACAGTAAATGTCCAACATCTCCTCTTCTCTGGAAGTTTTTTCTTTATATAAAATATACCGTATATACCGCGTTCCCTTACGTGTCTATACCTAGCCTGTCAGGGTTTTTAACTAACCGTCCACTACGAGTTTTGCTTGTAGAACTTGTTTCGGTACTTGTTTCATTGCGTTCTAAGTGTGCTGGTTGAGGGTCTTCTTGGGGCTGATCATTGTCAGTAGGTACAGACGCGTTCTCTTCTGCTTCGGACATGTCTGAAATCTCTTCATCTGCGTTGTCACTACCGAGTTCTGCAGGTAACTTTGATCGTCGGATGAATTTTCTGTTTCCAGTATAGGTATACCCTTTGCATTGGACTTCATATGATCTTATCCCGGCTTTGCGTACGACTATCCCTCTCCTCCATTTCTTTTCGCCGATTCGGGTTGGCTGTAGTCTCACCACTTCTCCTTTCCGCAACGGGCTGAGCTCTTTTACGCCACGATCGTGGTATTTCTTTTGGAGCTGTTGTCTTTGTTGAATGCGTTTGTTTGCTTGCGAATTTATCTTCGGTTGGAGCAACTTCTCCGAGACGGGTAAGGGAGTCTTTGTACGGCGGTTAAACAGTCGTTGTGCGGGGCTTGTTTCATGGGTTGTTTGGAGGGTGTTTCGGTGGGCAAGAAGGGCAAGGTAAATGTCATCGTTTGATGATTTGCATGTTCGAATTATTCGTTTGGCTTGCTTGACGGCAGATTCGGCTTTGCCGTTGGATTGGTGGTGATAGGGACTGGTCGTTATATGCTCAAATTGGTACTTCATAGAGAAGTCTCGAAAGTCATCACTCATGAATTGTGGGCCGTTGTCTGTCACGAGAGTATTTGGAATACCGAATCTGGCGAAATGGGGCTTTAGTTTCTTTATGACTGCCAGTGATGTCAATTTTTCAAGGCGGTCAACTTCGAAGAAGTTCGAGTAGTAGTCCACTGTTACTAAATACAATTTCTTTTCAAATTCAAAGATATCACAACCGATTTTTGCCCATGCTCTCTTTGGTATTTCATGCGGGATGAGAGGTTCTTTCGGCTGCTTGGAATAGAATGTGTCACAGGTGATGCAATGTGAGATGTGGTCTTTCAATTCTTAGTTCAGGTGTGACCAGTAGACGGTTTCTCTGGCTCGCCGACTTGTCGATGCGATCCCTTGGTGTGCTGCATGCAATTCATTCAGTACTTGCTTTCGTAGTGATTTTGGGATAACGACGCGGTCTCCCCTAAACACGAGGCCCTCTTGTGTTGTTAGTTCGTCTCGTAGATGGAAGTACGGGATGATTGTTGGAGATAGATCTTTGGAGCTTTCGGGCCATCCTGACTGGATAAATGATTTGACTTGCTGTAGGTCTTGATCTTTCGTTGTGTGGTCTTGGAATATAGTTGTTGTTTCACAATTTAGTATTTCGTTGATTTCTTCCAAACTGTCCACTTGGTCGAGATCGCTGTCGACGCTGCGTGCTTCGTCGGTGGAGTTGTCTAAATGGTGACGACTGAGTGTGTCAGCTAGCAGCATCTCTGACCCTTTCTTATAAACGATGGTTAAGTCATATTGGTGTAATCTCATCATCATCTTTTGAAAACGTCTAGGTGCTGCTGACAGAGGTTTCTGATGAATGACTTCGAGCGGCTTGTGGTCTGATTCTACTGTGACTGGTCGGCCATATGTATACTGGTGAAAACGCTCGGTCCAATAAACTGAAGCTAACAGTTCCTTTTCTATCTGAGCGTATTGTTTCTCCGCGTGCGTCAATGCTCGGCTGGCAAATGCGACAGGCTTTCCCTCTTGAATGAGTGCGGCCCCCAGTCCGTGGTCGCTAGCGTCACACTGTATTATCAGGGGTTTGGTCGACTCGTAGTACTTGAGGACTGGCGGTTCTGTGATCAATTTCTTTATTTGGGTGAAAGCGGCGTCATGCGATTTGTCCCAATCGAAAGGTTGATTCTTTTTTGTCAGTTGTCGTAGTGGTTCAGGTACTTGTGAGAGGTGGGGAAGGAACTTGGCAAGATAATTAACTGTTCCGAGGATTCTTCTGACTCCAGCCACGTCTGTGGGTTGCTTCATTTCTAGTATGGCTTGTACTTTAGCAGGATCCGCTTGGACACCGTCAGAGGTAAGAATATGGCCAATGTATGGCATTGAGGTCTTCTTCAAGTCAATCTTGTTTGGGTTAAGCTTGATATATTTAGCTCTGCAGCGGTCAAATAGTTCCTTGAGCTTTCTGTCATGGTCGGCTACAGCTTCCTGCATCTTCTCTCCATTTCCAATTACTAAAATGTCATCAGCAACAGTTCGTACACCATCCATGTCATCAATTGCCTGGTCTAGTCGTTGCTAGAAAATCTCTCCTGCAGGGGAGATCCCGAAAGGCATCCGATCCGTTGCCATTTAAATCGTCCAAATGGAGTGTTGAACGTCGTTAAAGGAGACGACTCTTCGTCTAATTCTACTTTGCCAATATCCGTTGCTACAGTCGACTTTGGTAAAGACTTTTGCATTGGACAGTTCTGGAAGTACGTCGTCATTTGTCGGTATTGGATGGTGGCATCGTTTCAGCGCTTTATTGAGTGGTCTGGGATCGAGGCATAATCGAATTTTTCCATTGGGTTTTGGTGCAACAACAATTGCACTGACCCAGTCTGTTGGATAGTCAACTCGTTCTATGACCTCAAGCTTGACAAGTTCGTCCAAATGTTCTCGCAACGGTTGCTTCAGCGATTCTCGGATTTTTCTTGGTGGGAGTTGGACAGGCAACATTTGAGGATCAACTTGAAGATGCAGTGCTGGACCTAAGGTGCCAAGACCTTCAAAAACATCTTGGTATACGACTTTGACGTTTTGCATTGTCAGTCCCATTTGATCAGGCCGAGTCAGGTCTTCATTAATTTGAGCGACATCAGTTGGGCTCCCAATTTGAATCAAATTCATTTGTTGCATGGTGCGGCAGACAAGAAGGTTACTTTTTGCATTCTGGTCATCAACAACAGTGAATGGTACTTTGAACTCTTGCTTTGTAATTGGGTCTTGTACTTGTATTTTGCACTTTCCAAGGGGTGTGAGTGATGAGTTGTTGTACATCTTTAGAACATCTGCCGTAGGTTTGATGCGCCGTTCAGGTTGCCCCTGTATCGATTTGAAATTTGGTTGTGTTCCCCCTTTTATTTTCATGGTAGCAAAAATCCGTGATTTGTAAATGTTCGGTTGGTGTATTGTATTGATGGTATCATTCTCGATGGGGGCTAGTTCGACAGTCATAAGCGAGTCGCCTGAATCACTTGAGTCGTTTTCAGTTACTGCGTGAAGTGGTTTTTGGCAGGAATATCTTCCTTTCTGCATACAAACTTTGGCGAAGTGATTTTCGCGACCACAATTCCGGCAGCGGCTTCCAAATGCAGGACATGATTCCTTTTTTCGTTGGTGCACTGTTCCACAATATTTGCATTTAATTTTGTTGTCACGCCTATCAAGTCCGATACGCCTGTCATTGCGTCTTCCGGTTCCTGTGCTTCCGGTTCCTGTGCTTCCGGTTTCGGTTTTGTTGTTTACTATGGCGTCGATTTCGCCCTCATTTGCTTCGCTGTTCGCCTGGATTTTCTTGACTTGTTTCTTCGTGGTCTCGCTACTGCGACAGATGTCGATGGCTTTTGTCAAGGTGAGTTTTCGATCTTGCAATAGCTTTTTTTGAGTTGCATTATCGTTGATTTCTATGACTAGGCGATCGCGTATCAGAGAATCTCGTAAACAATTACAGAAATTATAAGATTGTGCCAGTGTTCGCAGTGCTGTTACGTATTGGTCGACTGTTTCGTTTTCATTCTTTTGTCTGCTGTTGAAAACGAATCTCTCATAGGTTTCGTTTGTTTCACCTAAGCATAACTCTTTAAATTTGGTTACAACAATGTCAAATTTCGTGCGGTCTTCTTCCGAGGCAAAATCTAAGCCCTCAAAAATTTCCATTGCGTCCTCGCCGATGCACGAAAGGAACGTTGCTGTTTTGAATTCATCTTCAAATCGGTTAAGTCTTGCCACTATAGCATAGTTATCCCAAGATCGCTTGAATTTCTTCCAGTTTGAGGCAAGGTTTCCTTCAGTTTTTAATGGCTTAGGCATGGCCAAGCCCGCTGGCAATAATGGTTGACATGCCGAGGCCGTGTTCGTCGTGTTTTCTGCTTCGCTACCGTTCGCTTCCTCTGTCATTTTCAATAATGTGAGCTGGCTTCTTTTAAACTCCTGACACCATGTTATTTGCTTCTCACTTTCATTAACTTTTGATAGTTTTATTTCTTATAGTATAATTCTCATAATATAAACTCATAACATGTATATACTCTATCTCTAAAATCCCGTGTCCTACACCTATTTTCGCGCCCTTTTCCCTCGTTCCCAGTTTTCCCTGTCCAAGCAAATATAACTAAAATATTAATGTCAACAGTAAATGTCCAACAACCCGCACACCCAAATACATGTAGATAAACTTGCAGTTATATATACATGTTGATAAACTTGCAGTTACAGCTCGGTGACTAGCTTCGATCTGTACTGTACAGGTGTATGTACCACAGAATACCGCAAAAATTTACATGATCCATATCTTTTGTCTAATGTATATAATATGGTTCTTTAATATTTTTTAGTATAGTCTATCAAAATATTTTTTCTTCCTGGGGGTTTTGGGGCAAGATTTCATAGACTTAATTTTTTTTTTAAATGAATATTCTGTGGAAAAAAATCCAATGTACCACAGAATACCAGTGCAGAGATAAGTAAGCAACGGTTTATCAAATTGTACCCGGATTTGGTGTGTCATGTTGTATGATAATACTGTGGGATATTGCTAACTTAATTTAGTGAAAGATAAACACTAAGATCAGTACAGAATACCAGTGGTATAACCAAAGAATACCAGGTTTATCAATAATTTTGAAAAAATCAGTTTTTCAATGGTAAAATTGATTACACTGTGTGATTCCAGTGTAGTAATAATCTTGCACAATGCATAGAAAAAGCATTGATCAACATAAATTATGCTGGTTTGCGAACTTATTTTTAAACATTCGGATTTTATAGGCATTATGCAAAAAAAAGTACCAAAAATATACAATGTTACTTTTTGTTAATTCTTATTATTTTTAAGAATTTTTAAGAAAATATACATTTTTTGTTTTTATATGTCAATTAAGACTAAAACTAATATATATAAGAAATAAATAAGACTGGTATTCTGTGGTACATACACCTGTAGCTCACTCACTATATGAAGGTTTACATGAAGTAGTGCATCACATTATAGGCGCGCAAAGGGGAGTGGGATATGAGCGTTCTGGTTAGCGCCTGGCCGATCTTGTATAATAGCTGTCGAACATACAAGTAAAGAACAGATCTAAATATAAATCCCTTCATTGGATGTATATGACCAGAAAGAATTAAAGCTATCCTTACCTGAATTATTCAAAATATTGTCGATCGTTTGCATCGTGAAAATCAAACATACTGCATGTAAATAAGCTCGTAACCATAGAATAAGAAATGAATAGAAGTGCCACTCAAGTCGGAACCTTTGATGTAAATGGCGCCGCGCATGTCGCCTCGCGCATCTCGGCCGCCATCTTCCCAGCAAGTAAAAATGGAGGATTTTATATAGAGTTTATATTAGGGAGTTAACTGCAAAAAGTGGATTTTCAGCGACGATTTCCTTCTAAAATCTAAACTATCAAAAAATGAATGATTTGTTTAAAAAGAAGGTATGTGGTCTTATCTAGTCTTATTTACAAAGAATATTTAAAGTTTTGAAGCTGTAATTTAACAATTTAGTGCGGTGTTTTTCGTGACCGAGATACAATTCATAATTAGGTTGGAGTTATTTTTATATTTTTGTTCGTATTGCTACAAAATATATTCTTACATGAAAATTTTGTATTGCTTTACGTAATTTTGAAAGACATCATGTTATGTCATTCCGTTTCTGGTTGGTAATTTGCATATTAATTCCAACTTATCCAAGCACAATTTCAAGAAATACAAGAATCATATGTATTGTTGGAAATATGTAATTGGCTGGCTGATTAGTTGATATAAGAGACTTAAGTTGATCAGTATACTTTGTTTTAAGTTCTTTCAAATTATTTAATATCCATTTTAGTTTAATATTAGTGATACTCATTACTGTTCTTGCATGCACTTTAAACCAGTATATCACTGATATATTTCCTTTTTTCAGTTTGAAAGATCACAGATGAAACATCTTCCATGATTTGAACAACTTCTACAAACATTAACTTTAATTGTAATGCAAAATGGGAATATTTTGTAATATGGAAATTTTTTGTTAAAGTAGACATACTGTATGGTGACAAAATGTTTGTGATGAAAATGTCTTTTATAGTAAATCTAGTTGTTCCACATATCAAGAAATTGTGCGGTTGTGCACTTTTTTAAAGTTGTGAAAACTTACAACTTACAACTTTTAACCCTGAAAAACACAATAGATATGCTTATGTCTCTTTCTTAATGGTTCTATTTGGCTGCTGAAGCATAATTTAAGAGAGGTCAAATACACAATTTGTGCATATTTTCAGAATTCAAAAAGTGAGAGTCATGGACACATAACCCTTAACTCGTTTGAGCATTCATAACTTCAGCTCCAACATTTCCATGGCAACTACATATTGAACATCTCGGCAAAAGTTGGGCCATCAAAGCTAATGACTCAGCTTTATGATGTATAAAACCATTGCATAGACATATATGAAATGTTTTTTGAAGCTTTTCAAGATTAAATTGTATAAATGTATACTTAAACACAACAAAAACATCTCACATTACAGATTAGATAACAAACTGTACATGTTCTAAAGCTTGGTTCACACTACCAATTTTGTAGTTGATTTTCTATTCTTGATGGATGAGAATGTGTGAACTTGCACACAAAACTATAGAATCTTTAATTGCTATTCAGAAATATATATTTCTTAGTCTAAGTAGGGCACATTGTGGCTCAATGGGTTAACCTAGAGACATTGTCAGATTTTTTGGTAAACCATTTTTTGTTAGATAGTCTGGCAATGGAAGTGAACAGTTTTGTTCATGATGTATGATTCCAATAAAAACTTGCTTTCTGTTAAGATAGTAGATTATTACAAATGTTGACAAGTGACAGATATAATCATCAGTGGTTATAATGTCTGTTACATCTGTACATCCAAAATGGTCATATAATTTATATTTATTCAACCTTCACCATCTATAGTAATATTAATATTACCAGGGATGGATCCAGCATGATCTGGTGGGGGGGGGGGTGCTCTGGTGCCGAGTTGTGTCGGTGATGTGTGCTGCCCAGTAGCCCACCCATCAACTTGCTTCGCTACTGCAAAGTCTTGCTTGACTACTGTATTTGAATTGTAATTTGTTGTTCACAGTTTGCTTATCATCATGTTATTACTGAAATTACTGTTAGTATCTCATTTTGTCTCTAATAATTTTTTGCTTTATCATGAAATATAGCAGAACCCTGCACCCCCTCTAGCCAGGACTAGGGGGATCCACCCCCTCTGGCCAGGGCTCGGGGGTGCACCCCCCCCCCCACCCCAATAAATCCATCCCTGAATATTAATAATAACATGGATACAATACATACATTACATTATAAATATATCATACTACTGTATAATAATGACAATTGATGTGAAAGCACCACAACAGTTAAAATCAATTACTGTGGGCCTTTTAATGACAAACATCTAGAAACAGCAGTTAATAACATAGTTCAAACTTCGACAACCTTTATAGTTTAAACACATATTTCCATGTTCTTGCATCCTCTGCATCAATGCAGGGCTTTCGAG